AGTTATTTGCTATCCGAGTTTTGTGTTTTAAGTTTGCAGACAAGAGGATTTGTCTTTTCATACACTTGTTTAATTGTTAAATATTTTAGAAAGTTGATGATGTCAATGTTTATGGGATGACCAGAAAGGATTAAAGAGAACTTCAAGGTCCAGGGAAGGGTGCTTGGAAACCTAACAAAGGTGACAAACCAGGCAAACCTACAGGAAAATCCCCCACTTCTTTATGTATAAGGTGATTAGTAGGTATGAATTGAGAAGATACGAAAAAGAGGGGATATGGTAGGTGTGGGTAATGGCTTTGCCTAGTGACTCAAATACTGAATTTGAAATAATATTATTTGTGTCTCCGTTACCATTTTTGAGACAACAGAACAATGAGTCATTTATAGACTGTGAAAACTTTCATGGTATGATTGTCCTCCTTGAATCTATTTGTTACATTATAAATGTAAATATTTACTAAATTATACAATGTATAATATGTTGAAATGAATCATACAGTTCCTGCTTCGGAGTAATTGCCTCAGGATGTCTAAGGATTCAGCTTTAATGCAGGAAATCTTGAGGATGAACTGTGTAATCAAGAGTCCATTCTTAATTTTTATTCAGTTCTAAATAATCTGTATGGACCTAGCTTAATGCGGGTTCTGGCTAAATCTTGAAAGACCCCATACCAGTGAAGCTCTAGCAAATAACTTGGGAAAGGTGTTGCTTCTTATGAATCAGAAAGTATTGGGAGTGTCCAGGGTTATCTCCAGGTGAAAGATTTGGACAGGATATTACCCTATCGACAATACGGCTTATGGAAGTCAGCCTCATATTTTGAAGGAGATAAGTGGCTTGGTGGTGGATAGAGCTGACTCAAGGAACATTTAGGGCACAAGCTGAGCATGGTGCTGTTTGTGTCTCCTAAAGCTGCTGAATCAAATGAGCTTGGGAAGTTTCAGCTGGAGGAGGTTTTGAGTTGGCACGATTTTTATAGAACAGGGTGCTGTTAACAACATTGTTTCTCAAGTCCTCAACTTTGGAAACAGTGTGCTTTGCTTCCACTTGGTTATAAATAATATCATGCCAATTTTGAAACATTAATAAAACTAGGTTGAATATTCAGTCTTTGGTTTCCAACAAAAGGTGCATAATAGCAGTGTAACTTCTTGCAAACTTTTCTGCTTCAAGTTGTAGATAAACCTTGCTATAAATGACTTGGTAGATACGCTAGAAAAGCTTGTGATTGAGTGCTCTGTATGCTTGCCTTTTTGCTTCCACCTAGAATCCAGGGCCATTACTTTCTGTAACCATTTCAGTGAGCTGCCATAGTTTTCAGTCTGTACTGTCACCTGATCCAAGCATGCGCCAAAATACCCACCGTTTCTGGCTACTGTCTGCTGAATCTGCTTTGCAAACCCTTAGTTCTTTAAGCTTTTTGCTTAGCAAAAAAACAACAGGCACTCTTACAGAGTGTACTGGACACATGCCATCCTGCTTCCCTAACTCCTCTAATTGTTTATGTAAATCCTTAGCTTTACTAAACTTGTAAATGCTACAACAGCATCCCCATGTGAAATTGTGTGGCTCATGTGTCAAAAAAGGCTGCTTGTGAAAATATTTGTCAGAAGAATATGAATGCTACACATTGCACTGCATTCAGTGTTTTGTATCAACTTATGATTGCAATGTCATGGTGTTTGGTTTTAATTGTAGACAATTTTGTGTTTTAATACGAAAAGGTAAGTTCATGTAAACTCTGATTGTACAGTATTTATATATAAACATAATGATTTGTATTTTTGGCCTCTTTCTGAAGGAAAAAAAATACTTAAATGTGATATGCAGAGGTCCAGGTCTTCTATACTAGCACTTGTTTATGCATGACTCTTAGAGAATTATTTGATCTTGTGCAATAATAAACTGCTGGATTTTTTTTTAATATATTGAGCCTGATCCTTTTTACGCTGAAGACAACGGCTGGAAAATTGTTCTTATCTATAATAAGAATGAAAATACTCCATTATATTACTGTAGTTAATAGTTTTGTACTACTGATGTTGAAGAGATTCTCAGAATAAAGGGTTAAATGTTGCATTTGCAAGACATAGTGTTGAGCACCTTCACAACAGTATTTGTTTTCCATTATGATAAGGCTTTCTTGTAGACAGGTTAGATGAGAAAATTAGTAACTTGTTCCTAAACTTTAACAATTTAAACTACAAATTTTTGTGTAGGAAAACTGAACGTTTGCATAGGGTTTGGGACCCGTCACTATTTCTACCTTTTCTGTTCCCCTCAAGCATACCTGTTTTCTTTCAACATTTCATTTAACTTCAGTTTTCATTGTGACTATGTCACACCTTTTCAATGTCTTTTTTTTGTGTGTAATCTTATCTTTATTTCACAGCACTTTCTCTGCTCATCCTCAGTCACTTCATCTGTTGCTCACTCTCATCATGACTTCACATTTTCTTGCACTCTTTGTCATAGAAAGGTCATTGGTGACAAGTAGGACCCGTTTTTGCCACATAGTACCCAAAGGTGTAAAAAGTTATGAATTAGAAAATTGGCTGCCTTTTTTTTTTTTTTTTTTTTTTTTTTTTTTTTTTTTTTTTTTTTTTTTTTTTTTTTTTTTTTTTTTTTTTTTTTTTTTTTTTTTTTTTTTTTTTTTTTTTTGGTCCAGAAAAAGAGTACTTCTCCTTTGCAGGCTTTTTTCTGTAAAGTACAAAAATTGGTGTGACTGTTCAGTCAGTGTTTCTAACCAGCTGCCTGTAATCAAGTCTCATGGAGAAAAAATTGTTCTGGATGGTCAGAGAGCCACTTTTCCTACTACTTACACTTCTATGTTATAGAGAGAAACATTGCTTATCAAAGCAATCTTCCGGTCACTGACTGGAGGGGGAAGGAGGAATTGCTCCATTCCACCAAAATGAGTTGAAGAGAACATTTGCAGAATATACTCGTGGTCTTAGATCTTCCATACAGCTCTGCTTTTTGTCAGATGCAGCTTTTGTCTTACAGTCCATTTCTAAAGTTGCTCCATTCAACCAACCCTACTGCTGCTTCCTGGTGGCAGCAGGAACAGCCTCTGTCCTGAGATGCACACACCAAAGAGGAGATATTTTGCTTCCTACTTGGAGTACCACAGATAGTTCTCAGAGCTGAGCTTGGGAGCTCCAACCCTGTGATGTGATGGGTTATTTCTGTATGATTCTCAGTTTTGGAAGCTGATGTGTGAGCCCTTTGCTAGCAGGTGCTCCAGCCGTCTGAGTCAGGATTACTGAGTATCATCTCCAGCATTTGATATTCCCAGTCAGTGAAAGGGTTTAAACAGTGATTTCACACTGAGAGTGTGAAATGCAGTGTCTCAGGATTCTTCCACTAATGCACTGAAACCTGTTAAAGTGACCTCTGACGTAATGAAAAATATCAGTTCATGGAAACTCTTTGGTTTGTGTCTTAATGTGTGTATTTTTGTCAATTGCAGAGAACATTCCTAAGAACTCTCACTGTAAATTTTTTTTCTGTTCAGCATTTATTTCTTAAAGCAAAGGTTGGATAAACTTCAGTCTGGGCATCCAGGCTGCTGTCAGTGCAATGCTATGAGTTACACAACATTGGTATCTAAAGTTATGTATAGTTGAACCTCTGTGCTCTTCCTTTTAACTAGAAAATGATCATCAGTTTATTTTAGAAAGGTGAAAACCTAGTTCTAAATGCAAATTGAGGCAAATTCATGAATGAGTACATCTTGCTGTACAATGTTTTTGTTTCAGTGAATTTCAAGTTATGTGTATATCTACATCTTTCATTTTTGTTTGTCATGTTGTCAGAGAACCTAGTGTATGATATGGGGTTATCATACACGATAAATATTCCTGATTGTACAAAATTGGTTCCCAGTGAATCCCAGGTTTTGACCTCGATATTGGAAATTACGATTCAGTAAGGAGATATCAATGACTGGACGTTTGTATCTGTGCAAAGTTCAGTTGATTTCAGGGAAATTGTATAAGAATCTCTCTACTCAGAACCCTTGGTAGCAACTGAGTGCCTATTGTTTGTTACTGGTTTTCCCCTTATGTATCCAACTAACATAGTTTTCAACTAAATTCATTGGTACAGGTAAGCAATTTTGATAGAAGAAACAGCTGACAAACTGTAATTGTAAATGTCAATATTTGTTTACTTCATATGTAAAAGACTTGTGATACAGGAGCTTTAGTTCTGGGAACTAATTGCTGAGCAGTTAAAGTAAATATTTTAAAAATATTTTTAATGCAGTACTCAAGGAAAGCAAGCAGGATACATTTAACATATAACCTCCAGGACAATAAAGGTAATCAGAATCTGTTGGCAGGGACAGTGGAAGGTGCAGTTACCAGGATACTGAAGCAAAAAAGCACCAACAAATACATAGTCAACATATATCTTGTACTACTTAATGTTGTAAATGTACATTAATTTCAAATCCCTATGGCTTCTCAAAGTTAGAAGTGCCACAAAACTGTCTGATTAGTGATGCAGTCTTGAGCAAATTCTTTTAAAATCTGGTTAACGGATAGAGAACTATTTGAAATGGAAAAAACTATGGAGGTTATTTCAAAGACATCAAGTGTATAGCCAAATAAAATATTATTTTACTATTACAAATCCTGTTTCATTACTATTAGTAGTTTTTCAGAATTACAGAGTATCTGTGATGCTTTGTTGCAAGTTACCTGTTGTTGGAAACTGGCAATGTGGTCTTTAAGTAGGCAGAGATTGGAACAGCATCTGCAGTATTTTGGAGTTACCTGTCTTGTCAGAACCTGTTCACATGGGGGCTAAACAAGGAAATTAATGAAAAAGTCCCATTAGTGTTTGCTTGAAGTGTGATGGCTAAGAAATAAAACGTGACCAGGTACAACAAAACACTTGAATATGAAAAATCTGACTTTTCAGATTAATTGCATGAAGCTTTATGTTGACATTGTGCAGAATAGTGAACTGATTTATACTTTGTCTTTCAGATGAACCAGAGACACGAGATGCATGGTGGGCAGAAATCAGACAAGAAATAAAATCCCATGCCAAGGCATTGGGTTGTCATGCTGTAGTGGGCTACAGTGAATCAACTAGCATTTGGTAAATCATGATGATGATTTGATTTTCAAAATGCCACACAAAATTTTATTGCATCTTCAGTGGATTAAAAATTAACTATTTCAGCATGGTGGTTGGTATTGTCTAATATACCTACTATAATAATATACCTGTTTACTATACCTAATTCAGAGAGTTTAAGTGTCTTTGAGATTTCAGTACTAGATTTTTCCTTTTTTTTTAAATGTTTGATTTGGGTTTTTATTGGGTCTTAAGTTTTTTTCCTTACCAATACTACAATTTTTTTTTAATAAAGCCTACATATTTGCTTTTGTAATAAGAATGTTAATTTATCTATGAAGTTTTCTAAACCTAAATAATTAAGACTCTCCCCAAAAGTATATGTATTGAAGTTTCATTATTGGGTAACAACTGGCAGACCAGTACTTAAATGGCAAACTTCAAATTTAAGGCATTTTCTTTACTAGGAACACATCAGCTGTAAGTTAAAGGAGAATATGCTGCCTGATAGAAGTAGAATACTTCAAGTGTAAATATTCTATATTTCTTTCTGGAAAATGTTAGCCATTATTTTTTTCTTTCAGACTCTCAGTAGTGTTTAACATACTAAACTGCAGCTCTGCAGTAGTCTTTGTGAGGTTGAATTCCAAAACTCCACTGTCTTACTATGTTTCCTTTGGCTAAGGAAAATTCCAATCTTATATATTTTAGGGGCTTAAAAACAAACTTTGTGAAAGGCTTGGAATTTGGGAGAAATAATTAGGGATTTGTCTAACTAATTGTCGTTCTCTCTGACCCCTAGAGACACTAGAAAGTGTCTCTAGCTCTGGAAAGTAATCTGTGAAGAGCAAGTGTATCTGGAAGTATAAAACAAAAGTAGTCAGATTCACTCTCTGTTTTGATTTGCTATATGAAAGGAACAAGCAAATTCAGACTTTGGAATTTGCTTTCTTTCGAGTTGATTTTGCCTAAGTACTTTAAAGTAAAAGCACTGAAGATTTGCATTTTTAAAGAGAGGAGTTGGAAAAAGAAGTTTGGCTTCACTTTGCAGTTGAAAAGTTGAAGAAAGAAATAAAATTATATAGTGCTTTCGTGAGGGCACAGCATCTGTCTAAAGTCACATTGATTGCCTCACATCTGTTGCTCCTTCATATGTATTGCTTCACTTCAGGTAGAAAAAAAACAACAACCAAAATGCATTCATCTGTCACAAAACTTGAAACTGGTTTTTGGATTTACAGTTGAAAAAAGAACTTTACAGGCAAGGCGTGGTTTGTATTCCTTACGTTGTCTTGTCTGGTTATGTTCTGTCCTGCTTGGTGTATTAAAGACCATATTTACATCAGAATTACTCCATCACTGAGGGATGAACTTGCACAAAAAAGAAAAATTTATTCCTTTGGCTATCAGTCTTCATGGGAAAAGCATGAATATTTTGCATTTCTTTCTACCTTAGCTATAGGGAAAGAGTATACAGAGTGTAGGTAGACAATCAGCTGTTGGGTTACTTCACCCTTCCATTTTTCTTAAGGAATTTAATGTGGTAGTATTTGATTATTGATGAAATAGTTTATTAGAGTTCCCATGCTTACTTGCCAGTTCAACTTTATTCTATGCTTAAAGCACAAGCCTCTCTGTGTAAGTACTGGTCTGCCAGACGTGTGAAAGATTATTCTGGAAAGAGAAACAACAAATTACAAAGGCACACATATAATTCTAGGAAAGAGGGGGAAACTTTTCTCCATATTTTGTTTTAATATAGTATTTTAAGTGCTGAATATTACAAGTTTGTTTCTTGTTTAACAATTTGAGAAATATTAAAAGCTCTGTGATCGTTCTGAGCTCTAACACTCCTAAATAATAAGTATTATCAGTTACTTTACAGGATATATTTGCCATTATTCTAGTTGCTCATACTCAGTTTTTTGCTACTTCTTATCCTCCAAGAAACACCCTTGTCAGTGTTGTGTTGTAACTTCATTTTGAAAATTGAATGTAAAGATGATGAGGCTCTCAACTTCCATTTTGCTTTGGTTAACAATTGCACCTTTTTTTTTTTTTTATGTTTCTTTGTTTTTGTTGGTTTGCTGTATTCCTCTGTGTTGTTAACAGTAGAACTGAAAACCATATTTAAACCTGGTTAGCCTTTCTCTTCTGTTCTGTTATTTGTAACAGAGGTCAAAGCTTCTTAGTCTTTCTGTTCAGTTCTCCCTATTTATACAATGGCTTAAATGCCAGAAGAGTTTGTGAGATTGAAAGGATAAAATTGCACGACTGTACAATACTAATAGTAATATTGAATTCATGGAGCCTTTTGTACCAACCTTTTTAATCTGATAGTTCTAGATGAAAGCATCACTGAGTAGTAGGAATTCACTTTGTTGTCATTCTTTTCTCTTATAGTGAAGAGGTCTGTATTTTGTCCGCGTCTGGCACAGCAGCTGTACTGAACCCTAGGTTCCTTCAGGATGGCACCATGGAAGGCTGTTTGGAACAAAGGTTGTCATGGCAGCCTGGCTTCTTTTCCATAGGGTCAGAGAAGGGAGAGGTTGATTTTTTTCCTCAGAGCCAAGATAGTTCTTCTCTATTAGGGTAGGTTACAGTGTTACAGTGCAGGATGCGGGACCAACCACTTTACTGCTTTTCACTAACAACAACAACCACAGAAGTAATGGAACTCTGCACCAAATTAGATATTCTGTTTTTATTTCTAACAGTCTGAATAAGGTAACACGTTTGACTACTAACACAGATTATAACTCAGTGTTTTTTTTTCTTTGCTGCTCTTCAGGTATCTTTCTCAACTTTACATCCCACTATAGAAATGACAGATGTTTGATAAATTATGTAAAGCAAAGGCAGCTGTAGCTGTAATATGTGTATATATGCTCTCTGTATATACTATTTAAGAGCTGCATGGGAGATTAAATAGCTTGGTTGTGAAACAAAGATGGTATCAGATTATTACAAAATGTTTTATTTGAAGTTTGTGAACAAAATTGTGAAACTGAAGGACAGACATGAAGTTTCCATTTGTTTCTGCTTTTGCAAATAAAATTTGAAGAATGGGTATTGCCAAACAGTTATTTGGGGGAAAAAATAATTAAATTAACTAATGCATATTGGTAACTTGTTATGTGTTCATCAGGATAGTGTTTAAATATTTCAAGGGATTATTGTACCTGTAAGTAAGATTATTTATCACACTTTAGCATTCTCATTACTTTTTCCATAACAAACCAGCCCATGTAGTATTATTTATTATTTTTGGCCATTGTCTTCTGTTGTAGATAGACTTTTAAAAATTGTAGCCAGAACAAAAATACTTGCTTTTGTAGTCACTATATGATGGAGAGAAAGAAGTGTCATGTTTATAATATAAAGAAAATTGGCCTTTTATCAAAATGTATTTTGGTGCTACTAAGAGTCTTGGCATAGATTAGAAATGCCAAAGAAAGGTAAAACAACTAAACAGACAAAGCTAATGCTTGAGACAAAATATGTTTGCCAAAGTCTTATGATAAATAATGTTCCAAATCTATCAGATTTGCTTAAGCACCTCTTCAAAATCACTGAGAATTGTTTATATGAAACAGAATCAATCTGCTGTGATGCAGTTAGCCTGTGCTTTCCTAGGTCATAATTTTTATAGAGGTCATTCCTGGGTATTGTTTGTGCAGGAGTGGGACTAAGTGTTTTGGGTGGATAACTCAAGTTTTGCCTAATACCTTATCTTAGGAAATAATCTTGCTATTCTTCTTACAATGTTAATATATATTGTGCTGCTTCTCAGGATGGTTGGTTTGTTGTTTATATTCTGTTCCTTGGGTTTGTGTAGGTTTTTGGACACAATCAGTGTAAAAGAGACTTTTCATTGTGTTTAGTACAGCATCCAACTGTTGTACCATGGACTACATTTAGAACTTATGCCTAAAGGCAGCTCAATGGTTTAGGTTTATATAAGTTGTATTTTTTCTCAATCCTGCATAACAAGTTTCAATGCAAATTTTATTTGTAGTGTTTTAGCTAGTACCATTTAACCTAATTGTATTCTTCTAATTCAAATAATGTAATACTTATCACATTGATATAATGGAGCAGAGTAGAACTACAGTTTATAATTTAAGTAGGTTTCTGTAGTGTTTATACACATGCACTTATTTATCATCGTTAAGAAGATACAGATGTTTTAGGTATGTTCTCCATAATGTATTTTTAGGATTGAAGAAGCTTCACCACCAGGTTGTGGATTTTGCCATATACCATATGATGAATTGAACATGCCATTCCCTGCTCACCTCACTTACTGTTACAACTGCAGGAAGCAAAAAGTCCCTGATGTCCTTTTCACCACAATTGATCTTCCAGTAGAAGCAATAGTTATTGGCAAGGGATGTCTTATTCAAGCCAGGTATCTATCAAAATGTTTCCTTAGTAAAATTTTGGAGATCCTTGAAATAATTCCTGTTGCTAAAATCCAGTATGTCATCAAACTTCATACTCTTATGTTGAATTGCTAGGTATTAGGGAACAGGAGAAAGGAAAAGGAGGACGGCCTACTCCTCCCTCTGTGTTGTGTCACATCTGTTGATGGACGTCTGTGAATTTACCCATGTTGATAAACATTTGCTCAATGTTCTGCTTTTGTTTTTAATTGCCATTGAGAACTGTTACATTTTTTTCTGCCTGGATGTGAACTGTTTCATGCTTTTCCTTGCTGTTTGGGATTACTACCACTGTTAGATGCAGCTCTTCCACTGTGAACTTAATCATCATAGAATTGTTTGGGTTGGAAGGGAACCTTGAAGATCATTGAGTTCCAACTCCCTTGCTGTGGGCATGTTCACCTTCATGAACTGTTTCAGTCAGTTGGGTTAATTCTGTGCTGATGTCCATAACTGAACATCATCTCTGTGGAATCGTTGGCTACGTCCTGTTTGTGCTGCGGTCTTTGGCTTTGAAAAAGGGTAAAAAGTGGTTTAGAGTGGGAAAGAAGGAAGGGGCAGCTATGTACAGTCTGTATGGGTGGCCAGCCACGTGGATAAATAACTGATTGGACATTTGGGCTGAGACAGTAGTGGTTTATGTTTTGTAACCTACCTGGATGGTCATGACAAGTATAACAGAGTCTGTAGTGGGACCTGTTTCTGTTGAATCTATTCATGATGTGGATGGGATGATGGACTGCTTTTTCTTCAGGTTTCCCTGTTACACAACAGTGAGTGGAACCAGCCAATACGGTACCTGTTCATTTTTGTCCTCCTCTGAGAGTAGGATGAACATCAGAAAATGATAGAGCAAGTTTGGAGGGCCAGCAAGGGAGTAAGGAGTACGTGTCCTATGCTGAGAAGCTGCAGGTGCTGGACTTGTTCAGTCTGGAGAGAGAAGGGACTTAGGGACACTTAATAACTGCCTGCCAGTATCTAGAAGGAGGTTATAGAGCATGTGTAGCCAGGGTCTGCACAGTGAGGGGCTGAGACCCAACTGAAACGAGAGATTCAGAGTGCATGAAAAACCACTTACCCATGAGGACAGTCAGTGGGTGGGGCAGATTGCCTTGGGGGTTGTGCAGTCTCCATCTTCGGGGAGTTTTCAAGATATAACTGGACAAAGCTCTGAGTGATTCTGCCCCTCTGCTCAGGTGAGACCCCATCTGCAGTGCTGCATCCAACTCTGGGGGCCCCAGCACAGGAAGGACATGAATCTGTTGGAGCAAGTCCAGAGGAGGCCAAGTTGATTAGAGGGATAGAAGAAAGGCTGAGAGAACTGAGATTGTTCAACCTGGAGAAGAGAAGGCTTTGGGGTGACCCAGTTGTGTCCTCCCAGTACCTGAAGGGAGCCTACAAGAAAGAATGCAGAGACTATTTACAAGGACCTGGAGTGACAGGACAAGGGAGAATGGCTTCAAACTGACAGAGAATAGCTTTGGATTGGGTATTGGAAAGAAATTATTGTGAGGGTGGTGAGACACTGGCACAGGTTGCCCAGAGAAGTTGTGGATGCCCCAGTCCTGGAGGTGTTCGAATCCAGGTTGGATAGGGCTCTGAGCAACCTGGTCAAGTGAAAGGTGTCCCTGCCCTCAGCAGGGGGGTTGGAACTGGATGATCTTTAAGATCCCTTCCAACCCAGGCCATTCTATGATTAAACTCTGTATTTAGCACCATTTTGGAAGTTTACTTTGTGTTACTCGGTGGTCCCCAGTCTGTCCCTGGAGCACTTGCAGATGTCTCATTTTCTCAAGAATTCATTTCTTAAAACATTCCCATTCCTCAGAAAACACACCCAAAAACCAACAAAAAGACCTGAAGCTATAGAAAGATTTTGAGGTGAACTTGTTACAATTTGGTGAGCTAGTATGTTTTCCTGATCATGTCCACAGCAAATGAGGTCCACAGAAGGAAGCGTTGCCTGTTTGTATCACTAAAATGGACAGTTGGCATGTGCTGCTTTTGAACAAAATTTCTCTCTGAAAGTATCACTGGTGTGGGCTTTGAATTTCAGCTTCTAAGACTGAACCTAAAGAATGGAGTAAGACTGACATAATATAGCCAGAGATGGAATTGCTATATTCTTTCTTTTATTCTTTTAAGACAAGTGCTTTCAGTCTGGTTAATGCTTGAGCTGTGAGGGCATTTGAGTGGGTTTTTTCTTTGTTCCAATGTCTGTTTTCAATACATATATTAATAGGAATGTTTAAAGTTTTACCAGTAGATGTAATTTCCTGTGCTGGTACCTGAAGTGTTTGAGGTTTGCAGCGAGAGAAATGAATGTTTACACTTGGGGTCTTACTCAAAGCAAAGCTGAAAATACAGGTTTTCAGATGACACAGTCTGAAGGATTTCTTGTAAAGAATTGGCATTTTATTTTCAGTTGCAGCAATCCAGAAGAATATACCTCATCAGTTCTGAGGCTCAATTGAAAAGGGCTACTACAAGAGCTATCCCTTGAAATCATTATTTTTTTTTTTTAGGGGGTATAATGGTGGTGTTTAACAGCTACCAGACAACTTGCAATAGCAAGAGAGCTGTGTTTGTCTACAGAATTTGCCTTGTAATGATCAGGGCAAGTTTTTTTAACAGTTGCTGCTATGTGATAGGAGTGTTAATATGTTTAGCTAAACATCCAGTAGATGCTTATCAGGAATCTGTAGATAAGGTCTTAATGTTGCGTATTTATTCTATGCTGTCAGACTGTTATGACAAAAAGCCTGTGTGCTGAGTGTTGTTTTTCTCTGATAACAGTCCTTAAGCATATTTTAAGAAATGAGGTATCATTCAATGGTTTGCAAAAAATACATTATTGGTAATTTTGTATTTGATAATCTGCTTTGGTAAGGAATATTTTTGGATGCTGCTGAAGGTTATGTATTGTTCTGTTTGATAAGTTTACTTTTTATGTTACCCATTTTAAATGCTAATATAATACAGTTTAATATAGTACAGTTTCTATTAAGAATCAAATCTTACTTATTGAGACTCAGTGCCTCCATCTGCCTTGATCTTCCCGATGATAATTTAGTATTTTACTGGATTTTAAAATAAGCTAAAATGAAACTGATTGTATTCAGTTATACAATGAGAAAAAAATTTCAAAATCCCCTGTGATGACTTTGAACCTTCACTAGTCCATTAGGACTGTGTGTGTACTGATCTCTGCTGATCTGACGTGCTGCTCTGCCTTGTCAGGTTATGCCGTCTGAAGAAGAAAGCTCAAGCTGAAGCAAATGCAACCTCCATCAGTAACCTCCTGCCATTCATGGAGTATGAAGTGCACACACAGCTGATGAATAAACTGAAGCTGAGAGGAATGAATGCTCTGTTTGGGCTGAGAATCCAGATCACCGTGGGGGAAAATATGCTAATGGGGTTAGCAGTGAGTACAGTTTGAATCTTCAGATTCTTTGGCTCTCTTACAGTATTTTTTCAAGAAGACATACCAGTGTTGGGGAATTCGGAGTGACTAGAGATAATAAAAAGTCATTTAAAGAATAAATGAACTGATGGAAAGGAACAAGGTGTCTCATTACTGTCAAATCAGGGCAGACTGTCTTTCATCACCAGAGAAGGAAGATTCAAATCTCTTGAAACCTTGTTACAGGACAAGATTATTAGAAAGGGGGTGAGAGGAAAAGAGACAATAAATGTTTTAATGGCATAAATTTCGAAAAATGATTGTGTTCTTTAAAGGTCCTGTGAAAGAGGTCCCTATTCCTCAAATTGCATTACAGTTCCATGACAAGTAAGGTCAGTTTAGTCTCAGTAAATCTTCTGGTTAGCTGCCAACGAGAGGAAGGTTTGTTGCCTCCCCAGTGATGGCACTGAAGAAATAAGTGATAGATTGGAAGTGTCTTAGAGTCAAGAATTGTTCATTAACAATATTTTTCTAACCCCATTCTGTCATGTTGGCTCATTACCGTATGTATTATAGTGAAATGTCCTGATTCTTCCTGCATCAGAGGGTGTTTGGGTAATACTGAATAGCTTGCATGTTTTTTTTGTCTTTCATGATCTGTTTTCTCTAAATAGAAATAGGATTGTCACAACTTCAGTGATACTGTAAATGGTTGGGTCAAGTTTTAAATCCTCAAAACCATCACTTGCTTATGCAAAATATCCTGGGGCAGAGGTTTTAATTTTTAGTCTTTTCGGAATTTTTAGGCAAGGTGAAGTGCTCCACTATGGAGAAGTCCCATGAGAAGGAGAGAAAGAATAGTGGGATTTTTTTTCTTCATAGGTGAACAGCAGAGAGAGAAATCCATTTATTGTGGCAGGAGGCCATGCTGTTAGTGCATGTCACAGTGCTGTCTGTTCCAGCATGAGCATTATGGAAAACTTTATCTGCAAATGTTCAAAGTACATGCTTATGTAATTGTCTTTTTCCTTAATGACTTTTTAAAAGTCTGCAACAGGTGTGTATCTAGCAGCTCTGCCAACACCTGGTGGTATTCAGATTGCTGGGAAGACTCCAAATGATGGCACCTATGAGCAGCACATATCTCATATGCAAAAGAAAATAAATGACACGATAGCAAAAAACAAGGAACTTTATGAGATTAATCCTCCAGTAAGTAAAACTTTTGTTCTTTAAAATGAAACATTCTGAGTCAAACATACATGCAGTGTATATCCATATCTCCTTAGTGACTGAATCATTCAGAACATAAGTTTCTTAATTAATAGAGATCTTTTTTGCTGTATTTTGGGAAGCTACTGGAATTTTCAGATCTCTTTAGCCACATAGCTGAAAGAGTCCTGAAGAAATCTGTAATTTCTGGGAGTGAGCCAGGATGTCTGTGTCATATTTTGTGGGTTTTTTATGTTAAAAAGTATTCAGTCTCGACCTTTGCTTGGATGAAATCCCCAGCACTTTTCACTCAGCTAGGAACTTTCATACAGTATCTCAATCTTCGAGATTTTTCAAGATCAGTACAGGCATAATTTTAATTAAGAAGTTTACAATAGTAACTTGCTGTCAATTTTAAAATCAAACTTCAAGAAAGCAGTACAAACCAGGGGCAGGAGTTGGACTTTGATCCTTGTGAATCCCTTCCAACTCAAGATATTCTGTTCCATGATTCTGTGATTCTAAATCAGTTTGTACTTATTTAGATTTATTTCACAGTAAAATTATTTTCAGAATGTTCTGATTCTTAGAACTGTTAACAAGTTTTTTCTGATTGAAATTATTTCTAAGCTATGTAGAACATCTGCTAATTCTTATATCCTTTTTAGGAACTACCTGAAGAAATCATAGGGTCTCCCATTCCAGAGCCAAGGCAACGTTCCAGGCTATTAAGATCCCAGTCAGAAAGCTCTGATGAAGTTACAGAGCTTGACCTTTCACATGGAAAAAAGGATGCTTTTGTCTTGGAGGTGATAAATGTTTTCAGTACTTATGTTCATACTTTTCTTCTCCTCAAATATATATTAAAAAAAAACACCAAAAAAACCCAAACAAACAAACAAACAGAGAAAAGTTTCCTTACTTATCTCCAGGGACACTTCTTAAATTGTGTAAATTTTTTTCCATTTTGTATCAGTAGAAAGTAGAATGTTGGATTTTGCTTTATCTCTCTTATTCTGTTCACCTAAAGCACAGCTATATTATGCCCAGGGACTATATCTGAAAAAAGATTGCCCTGCTGTTCATGGACATGTAGCAATATCTAGAATAATAAGAGCTTTTAAGAAATGCCCTTCTGCCTACTTCAAGCAGCAGATCAGACTGATCAAAAACTTAAATCTATTTTTATAAACATTGAGGTTCTGTGTTGTCACACTTTTGCAAAAAAAAAAAAAAAAAAAAGCTTGTATATTCTTCCTGTTTCAAAGCTCTTATTGTTATAGTTGAATAGTCAGAATAATTAGCTTCCAGAACTGGTGGTATTCAAAGCATTCAAAAAACTGCACGTGTTAAGAGAGCAAATAAGACTTGCCTTTCTGAATTTCAGCTGATGCTCTTCACAATCAAAGAATTCATAGCTTCCAGCAATACCTTCCAATTCTTTCTACAGTTACAACTAGAAAGAACACCACCTGTAGATAAAGAACTCCTCTACTCCATAGAATTCAAAGATGTGATTTCAACATTTAACAGTTTTGAAGGAAAGTCAGAAAGTATTAAAGAAGGGCTAGAGTTTTGATCAGCCTGTAGGTACAGGTATTACAAATACCTGTCCCTGGCTAAGAAAACACTTTAAATTACAGCCTGTAAGTGCAGCCTAAGGTACATTCAAGACTGTTAATCTTCACGAATCACCATCTTCTTAGAAAGTAATCTGGATGAAAAGTTGCAGATAGGGAGAATAAGAAAGTGGAAAAATAACAGGTTAGGAGAGGTTGGTATAATAAATTCAGATAAGTTAGTGCTTCTGCTCTTCTTTGGTTCTCCAGTGCATTACAAGGTAAACTGGAAAGTCTCTAAAAGTAACTTTGATGCCGGTTAACATTAAAAAGGGAAGAGGACAGTTTTCAGCAAGTATTTTTTGCAGCTGGTCTTAACAGGGCTTTGGTTTTAATGTTTTCATGTGACAGGAGGAGAATTGTTTCCTCAAAACAAAAGTTATGATTTATGCTCTCTGAGGCACTTTATTGAAAATCAGAAAATCCTATGCGAAGTTCAAAAGGAGTTGAATGCCTTTGTAAAAAATAGAGGATTTTGTAAGGCATTAAACAAAAAACAACACCAAAACCAAAACCCCAAAAAAGCAAACCCAAGGACTACTAAATACTGGAAAAAACATAAGCCCAGCCTTCATTTCACTTGTAAAGGCTGTCAAATAGAAGAGAGGTAGTGATAATAAAAGCTCAGCATACTTTTTCTGTCCACTTGCCTCATGAAGTGTGATACGTTATACCAAGGATCAGTTGGTTGAGGGGAGTTGGAACAAGAGAAGTTTTAAGGTTCATTCCAACCCAAACCATTCTATGATTCTGTGTTTATATACTACAAGCAGAGTTCAGCTCTTTTTCTACAGTTTTGGAGAATTCTTCCTTCTACCTTATTTATTAACTCCAGTATGGGCTCTAGATCTCCATGTGGAAGGGAAACAAATCTAAGTATGCTTTAGTGTACTATAGAGTGCATTAATATGGTGCTAATGCTTGCAAGAAAAATAAGATCCGATGTTTAAGGAATGTGTTGGTCCTAGAATATGCATCCCTGTGCTTTGGCAGTTCAATCTTTATAGAAAAAAAGACTTTTTAACCTGTGAAATCATTTACTACTGCCTTTGTTAAGAGATTAGATGTCAGAAACAATATTCCAGAAGCTTTAATTAGTCTCCTGACTGACCTTTCAAGAGCAAAATCATTGTTCACTGGAAATATGTAAGAAAAAGTTCACTGTGATGAGGAAATGCTAAGAGGTGCTGGGAAGGCAATTGTGAGAGGTAAAGCTGTCTGGGTTTTTTTTTATTATTTGGCTTTTTGGAGGTTTTGAGGAAAAAAAAAAAAAAAAGACAAACCCTCTTGAAGCGGGACAAGGAGAAACAATACCTGACAGAGAACCTTTTAATAATGGATGATTAAATGATGTCCAAAATACTTACAAGAACATGTTGGAAGTTAGAGGTTAAACTTGGATCTCTTGCAGATCAATAAGGCAGAATAAACCTAAAGACACATGAGAGAAGTACTGACAGAAGGTAACAGTCTGATCTAAAAGAAGGTTGGATGGAACAGATGTTATTTGGATTGGAAAAAATAATAATCCCCAAATTCACCTTTTTCCATTTTATTTTCTGCTGTTCTTTCTGAGGAAGGTTTTTTAAATGCTGGAAAGATTTTCATGTGTCTTTAGGACAGGCAAAGAATAATCACATCAGCGTAATAGAACTTAGCTGGAAAAAGCTATAAGTTATTATGTGGAACCTTGTTCAGCATTTTAAGTTGTTTTACAAAGCCTCTCTATATTATTATCTACTGCATTTTCTGTGTGTTCTGTGCACATAGCTTTTATACAGTCTAATTAAGAGAAGTGTTAAGCATATCATAGGCTGCTAGTTAAGATTCAGAGGTCTGGTTCATAGAATCCTTTTCAAAAATCTCAGCCGAGCTGCCAGATACAGATCTTTTGATGACAGAACTTTTACATCTTTCTGAGACTTCTTACTGGCAGAGCAATGTGATTTTCATCAATTATTCCTTTTTACAGATTGATGATACAGATGCAATGGAAGATGTGCATTCTTTACTGACAGATGTTCCACCACCTTCTGGTATAGTTAAAACTATATTTTTCTACTTTATGCTGTAGACTGTAAAAGGAAAAAAATAGAACTAGTTTTATTAAAAATTATTTTAGAAAAAGCCAGTAGAACTGAAAATATTACTGTTTCTGAAGATTTTTAGACTAAATGACTAATTTTTAGGTTTTAAGTCAATTAAAGGAGAACAGAAAACTAATTATTGCCTTGTATCAATCATCTTTATGCTATTTGTGGATGTATAGATATCTGTCATACCCTCCCTGATGGAACTCCTGGATCTGGATAAGAGATTAATGTAGTTGTCCATTATATGGAAATTGCTCTGGACATTTGGTTGTCCTTGTCTTCCTTGTTGTCATTGTGAGTTTCCCCATGTTTCTTCTGAGCAAACATCCGTTTCCTTCCTAATAACCGGTATAAGTGTCTATAATTTTGAGTCCTCTTGAGCTCAGAACTATCCTTGTCATAGTTATCTATTATTACCACCAAATCTTTTCTTCCTCATTGAAAATCCATTGTCCTACTGCCGTTGAACTTACTGCCCTAAACTAAGGCCATCAGCAATTACTTCATTTTATCCTCTTTTGCAGATAAGTTATGAATATGTTTGAAGCATAAAATCATGTGTTACAGATGTCTCTACTGTGAAAATGGGGAGTTTATTTTGTGTCTCTTTTTCCAATCTTATAATAATTGCATTTCCTTCAATGACACTTCATTCTGCTAGTTTGGCAAAGAGTCCTTGGTGAAGGAACTTACTAAATGTTTTCTGATGTCCCAAGTAGGCTGGTTCAGTCAGAGGCTTCTTGAGAGCTTGTGAACCATGACTGTTCCTTAGGAAAGTCTTCTTGGCTCCTCTGCAGTGTCTTGTTTTAACATCTGCCCACAAATTCCCTTTTCTGGAATAGCTGCTATGGGCTAGTAAAAGAGACATCTGTATTAGGCAAATAATTAATAGATCCCAGTCAGTAAGAGCTCCTCACTACTTAAAGATTAAAAAATCCTCTCCTCTGGTAGTGGAGCAAGTTTAAGTTAAGAGCTCAATGCCATTTAGTCAGCCGTTTGATTTTTTTGCCTTTTCTCTTGTTTATATGAATCTTTATTTTTCATTTGCCCACTTGTCTCCTTTAGACACATCTCTAAGATGGATTTTCTGATGGAAAATAAATACGAGACTCGTTTTCCACTGTTGTGGAAAGCTTTACTTAACAGTGGTGAACACTGATGTAAAAAAATAAAAAGGCATGTTTTTTGCTCTGGTGTTACCATCTCTTCATATTCTTTCCTTATCTTACTTGATTCTTTAATAAGATTTCTGCTTTTCATGTTCTGAAAGAAAATCTATTAATATTTATATCTTCTGCAAGCTGCTACACAATTTCTTTTCAAGCTTATTTATTGCTTTTATACTGGCCCTACCATATGGGCCTCTTTTCTGCTTATTTAACTGTATCTTCAGACTTCCAGGATTGCCTATTTGCTGTTTGTGGCTTTTCTTATTTTGCTGTTCAGTTATTTTCTGTTAAGTGCTGTTTATTTGCACTCAGTCTCTAGGTAGGTTCTTTACAGCATCTCTGTGGTGTGTGTCAAAGGTTGGCTTTTTAGCTTTCCCTTTCACACCTTTTTGATATATTTCCTCATTTGTACACAGTTTATCTGTTAGAAATTAGGCAGAGCAGTTGTGGATTTTGGGTGTTTACCCTTCCTTCAAGAATACTACATTTGTTTTTTTTTTAATGTCAATCTCATTTCTGGTGTATTATTTAATATTCAAAACTACATGAGGGAAAATGCTTGCAAAAAACATCAAGGTCACATGTTTCTTTAGAAGTATTTTTATATGTCAGTGTATAAAATAGACTTTCCCAAATATTTTCCTCACAGGTTTTTACAGTTGCAACACAGAAATTATGCCTGGTATAAATAACTGGACACCAGAAATTCAGGTAAGGTTATTTATTCAAAGAAAACTGGAACTTCTTGCTAATTGTGTTGAAATATGCTCTAGTAATTTAAATATCTATTAGAGAGCACTACTTTTCAAAGATAAATTAAAAGGAAATGAGGTTGGAAATAAAAGTAATATTTTGGTAAGAAAAACAGGGTATGAGAACCTGTGGGTTTTTTCAGTGCTGTTGTTTAACAGAGAACCTAATATAAAAGTATGAAAGTAATTACAGTAAATATGAACTTCAAGATTTTGTACTTTTTTTAAGATCTTGGCTGGATTTTGAAGCCTCTTAAACAGACTGTTGGCTGTGTTACTTAGCATGAGGTACTGAGTATAATAACACGTTGTGCATTATTTTCCTTCATTACGAATTTGTTTTGGTTTTAATATATTGGATAAACTATATTTCCTCATATTGGCAAACAAAAAATAAGTGTACTTGTTTCTAATTCAGATGTTCACAGCAGTAAGAGTATCCAGATTAAGCAACATTAACCCAACAAATCAAACACTTAATAAGAACTTTAATGATATCTGTGAGAATCTGTTGAAGGTAAGAATCTTAAATATTTTTTAATTGTTCAAGTGGAAGCAAAGTAAAATTAGGCTATGCTGAAAATAACATAGGTTTCATAATTACCTTTTGAAATTAGACTACAAAGTTTCTGTAATTCGTTTATAAGTTGCTCTAAAACTAAATTCAGCCTTTTTAGTATATTAAGGGTTTTGAAAGCTTTTTGAATTTGAAGGAATCCTGGCCATTCTGTCCTGACTTTTCACACGTGTAATTCTTCTTTAGGAAGAAATTAATACAGAATCACAGAATCCAATAGATTGGAAAAGATCTCTGAGATTGAGTCCAACCTTTGACCAAACATCACCATGTCTACCAGACATATGATCACTTCTCCTATGAAAAGAGTTTTGATTCCTAATTTCTCTACAATAAACCGTAGATTTGTATTTTGAGTGACACAAGTATCTCTTTTTCAACAGAGCTTGTATTTTAAACTCCGATCTATGGTTCCCTGCTGTCTTTGCCATGTAAACTTCACAGTTGCTCTACCAGAGGATGAATTAGTTCAGGTAAGTGAACTGTTTCTTTTGAGTGTCAGCATGTAGGCAGTCTGGGCCTTTAATTGGTGTTTGCTGCTCAGAGTGAACTGGGCTGTGATTTGATTTATTTGTATGTCTTGTGAATTCAGAAGTGAAACTCAAAGAGTTCATTCTTTTTCATCACTGACCATTGTGGCCTTGAGTTCACCAGTTTTGGTGAACTGAACCAGAGAATGGGTCAGCTTGGAAGGGACCACAGTGGATCATCTGGTCCCATCTCCCTTCTCAAGCAGGATCAGCCCTAGAGCACGTGGCACAGGATTGTGGCCAGGCAGTTCTGAAATATCCCCAGTGAGGAAGACTCCACACCCTCTTTGGGCAGCCTGTTCTATTGCACAGTAAAGAAGTTCTTCCTCATGTTCAGGTGGAACTTCCTATGCGTCAGTTTGTGCCTGTTGCTGCCATTGTAACTGTCTCATTTTTTCTTGCCATTTTAAGATGATGTGTTGTATTTTCATTATTTTTAGACAAAATGGGAGTTTTTTTAGAAGTACAGCATCACTGTTGTGTTCAGTTAAACACCATTTTCTCTTAAAAATACGATGATTGTGAATTTCAGTGATCTTTTTAAATGTCTGTTCACAAAGAAAAAGGAAAAAACTGATGAACAAATCCACAAATATGGGACAAACAGACCTAACAACAGACCTTACTATTACCTTTTCGGCTCTGCTGTTGAGGGTTTTAATGGGTATGCTTAGATGATTTTTTTCCCCCCATATTCTGTTTCTATGCCAAAAGCTGCTTGTTTTCAAAATTATTTTTGCAGATTGCACAAGATATTAAGTTACCTAATAAGCTGTTTCTGATTTGCAGATTGCAGTCACAGCTGTTGCAATTACATATGACAAAAATCAAGCATTACAAGCCAACAAAGCCCCTACAGAAAAATCACAACAAAGAGGTAAATATTGTAATGAAAAGAGATAGTATTTTTCTTTCCTTTTTTTAGTTTCCCCCCGGTACTTAATGAGACTGCATTTTAATTTCAGTGACATGTAAATATTTTTACAGGGAGGTTTTTTCAAAACATAGAGGTTTTTTAGAGTTCATATATATACCTCCAGCAGGATGACTTGCTTATCAAGTATTTAGGTATTTGCTTTACAATATCAACAAACTTATGGTAACACAAGGATAAAATTTGGTATTTCCTTATTCCATATTTCCTTATTCCATTTACCATATTTCTTTGATTATTTTTAACTAAACAAATCAGAGTAACAGATGATGACATTTTCATTGTATTTTGAAACACGTGGTGTAAGTCATCAGAGGGTACTTGTTCTTATAAGCACCAAATTTTGTCCTTACTTCAAGAAAGTAGAAAACGAGTTATTCATAATACTTAAAGAAAAAACCCTTCTGAAATCCCTTAAGCAGGTCAGCAATGGTTTTGGAGATCAGTGAAGCATATGGAATATGGAGGGAATGGAAGGGACTGCTATAATCTGCATATGTCATCTTGCTAATGAAGCACCATCTTATGCTAGAAATGTATACATGCAATCTGGAAATGGGAATTCAGACAGAATTTTGAAGATGCTAGATTCTGAGGAATGGAATTAGGTAGAAGACAGAGCCATATGTTTCTAAAAGATTAGTTATAGCTGACTTCTTCAGCATATTGTTTTCTTTCATGTGAAATAAATCCAAACGTTAATTTTTACTGTAATGTTTAGCTGACATAGATCCAACTGCAGAATCAAAACTAAAATGCATGAATTCACTTGGTGTTTTTTCCTAAAAATACTAAATCACATCCTCTTCAATGGAACACAGATTCTGTTCAGTGTTACAGCTGGATTTATTGTCAGACATCTAACTGTCCCTACAGAACTATTTGCACTTGCTGAAAAAATCTATTCCAGTGAGACCTGACTAAATTGAATCTGCTAATTATTACTTGCAAATCTTATTTTGGGGATCAGTTATCAATTGGGAATATTTTCATTGTTGAAGCATCTACAGACAATGAAGAACAGCTACAATTTCCATTGGAACTTTGCTCTGATCCGCTTGCTTCTCAACCATTCTCTCCAGCTAAAGGTCAGTTAAGTGGAGGAATGTTAAGCTATTGCTTTTTATTGATTTTTGAGTTCTGATCTTTCATGGTTGCTATGGCTTTAAAATATCTGTACTTTCACATGCTTTAAATATTCTTTTCTACCTAAGCATAATGGATATTTTTACTTCTGAAGTCAAATTTTTTGATTCACATAGGATGAGTTGGCTAATAATTCTATTGTTTTTTCTATAGATTTCCTGTATCAGTTCTATCTTTACATTTATAATGTTGAAAATCCTGCAAACCACTGGGTGTTTGGTGTCATTTGACTTAATTATAAATTACCTAATAATTAGGCTTGCTGCATATTGCTTTGTTTCTGTAAATGGCCCATGGAAAATACCTCCATGATTTCTCAGCATCAGATAATTAATCTGATTGTTTTCATGGTGGGAAATACTTTATCTAGCAAGTACTGGTTGCATGCTGATTTTTTTTTTTTTTTAAGTGAAAGGAGCTGAAACTTGTGTAGTAAATAATTTGTACAGTGCAGCACATTTCAGCTGTTAAACAGCTGCTTTGTCTTACCTGAGATAGAGCAGCATTTCAAGAATGGTTGTCACAGTTTTTCTACGGCTGCATGAAAAATCAGGTGGTCATTCATTGAAATCAGCCATCTTTACTTCCTTCTCCATTGTTGGATTATCCACTCACCAAAATGGATAGTGAAAGGAAATTTAGTATCTGTGAATTACTGTAAACATTTTTCACTAAAATGTTCAAGAGCTCCTTTTTTTTTTTTGCCCATTACATCAGTTGTATAAAGAAGGGTACCTGTCACATTTACATGTACTTTCAGAGATCATATTAATTTCAGCAGTAATATTCTCGTTGCTTTGCATTTTTCTTAAGCCATTTGCACGTGCTTAACTTTTAGTTGGTCACATCGTGATACTGTTGACCTTTTATTTTCAAAAAGGGGAGCTATCCAGAAATATTCAGACACTGGAGAGTGTCTCTCTCACTGTTAGTGGACTGTTACCTGTGTACTGGGCACTGACCAGTGGAGGGCAGCCTGTTCCCATGTATCCCTTTTCCTGATGTTCTTCACATTCCATATCGTGCTGTACACGATAGCTGGATAACTGTTCCATCTGTCATTTCTTCACATCTAGAGTCAAGCTTTCATTATAGTTACATTTACTTAGCAGCTCATTTAATATATTGCTACTTTTCTATGGGATTGTTATTTTAAAAATATTTGTGTACAACCTGATACAATGATGAATTTTAATAAATAATCATATTAAAATTACAAGATAGATTTAGTAAAGGTAATGGTTTGTAGTAATTGTGTCCCTGTCAAAGAATATAGGATACTATATAGAGGGAGTAGGGTTTTTATATTTTACCCTAAAATTTTTTATAAGAATTACAGAATTGTTTGGGTTGGAAGGGACGTTAAAGCTTATTCAGTTCCAACCCCCCTGCCATGGGCAGGGACACGTTTCAGTAGACCAGGTTGCTCAGAGCCCCATCCAGCCTGGGCTTGAGCACTTCCAGGGATGGGCCACCCACAGCTCCTAAGGGCAACCTTTGCCAGTGCCTTACCACTCTCACAGGAAAGAATTTCTTCCTAATATCTAATCTAAACCTACTGTATTCCAGTTTGAAGCCGTTTCCCCTTTTCCTGTTGCTACATGCCCTTGTAAATAGTTTCTCTCCATCTTTCTTGAAAGCTGTGTGACTCTGATAAATATATTCTCTGAACGGGCTTACTTTTGTCTTATTAGAAACCCTGGAGGGTGCAAGTTCCCACACAGGTATTCCTGCTGCTCAGAGAGGTGAGTTTACCTTTTTTAGCCATATGCCAGCACAGAAAGAGCATTCTTGGGCTATTGGTATACTCTTTTTGGATGTGTCTTAATCCAGGAAGCGTTTACTAGTTAACTGAGAATGCATGCTCTGGTGTGGCTTAATGATATCATAATATTTTGATGTGTTTTTTTAACGACATAAGTCAGATTTGTTAACAAGAAGTGACTCTCTGTCAGATATATTGAATACCACTTTATCTGACTAAGAAAATTAGTTCCCTGAAAGAGCTGTTTTGCTTGTCTTAATTTGAAGTTAGCATGTGTTCCTTCCGTTTCTTCAGGGTAATGAAGAAACGGTGTTTGCAAACCCTTCTTTTATTTTTAAAGATACGCAAACACCCCTGCAACTAATACCAAAAAGTCATAGCAGAAACAACTCTTACTTCTTATTGTAATGATAATGGGAGGGGGTGTTGGAGGGAGGATGTTGGGGCAAGAAGACAGCGTTTCGTAAGAATTCATTTGTGTTTAAAACCGAGGTGTTGTTTCAGCTTGTGACTCTTATCCTCATCACCAAAGCTTTTTTTTTTCAGTCTGTAGGTTAGTTCTTGATAAAGGCAGTTCGGAAGTTTAAATTATGATCAGCAGCTCTTTGTGAGGAAAAGAACAGCAATGAAAATTGAAATTAAAAAAGGCTTAAAATAAAGTTAAAGAAGCCAGAACTTAATACCTAAACTGAGATTAAAAAAAAAAACTAATCTAGCATAAGTCATTAATGACTGTATTTGCATGTTTTTTCAGTGATGAAGTCCCAGTCAGGCAGTTGGTTCAGAGCTGGGACATCACCAGAAATTGGTATACTGGTTTGGACAAGTTCAAACCTGTACTGTAACTTTTCCTTTAAACAGACCTTGAAGGGGATGGTTGTTCTCTCTCAGTAATTGCTTCCTCAAAAGGAGCATTGAGATGAGCAAGAGACATCATCCATATTTTTTTTTCTGTTTTTTTTCTTTTGTTTTTCTGTCTGTGTTTTCAGCAACGTCAGTTGATTACAGTTCCTTTGCAGACAGATGCAACAACTGGATAGAGCTCATTAAACTGAAAGCTCAGACCATAAGGCGCGGATCAATTAAGACAAGTAGGCGGCTGTTTCTACCACATTATGATAATCTGAGACATATCTCTGATTTCCCAGTGGTGACTAGCGGAGTTCTCTGTCCAGCAGTAGCATTTGCAGATCACGCGTAGAATGAATTCTGAGTGTGAAAACTGCCGACATTGTTGACGTCTCTGTAAGCTCACGTAGGGTTTATGAACCAGTAGCATAAAAAGCCAAATAACAGCATTTCTGTTCACTTAGTAAAAATTAGCTCTCGATAAATGTGTACGCCTACTAATTGTGTAACATACACTGCATGGATGTAGGTGTATGTATGATCTTGGAAAATTTGGGGTGAGAAACAGGAAGCAATCACCAAGGTGACAGTCAAGGCAATGGTCACTAAATTAGCAAGTGGTGAGTTGTTTTTTAGTAGTTCTTTGGCCACAGGTCTGACTATCTTGCTTAAATTAGCAGAGATTAATACCTGTTTTAATGGAAAATGCTGCACTGGGGAAACACAACAACTTTCACACTTCCTGTAATTTGTTCCTCCAGCAGAATACGTATTTCAAAATGTTGGCACTTTTTTCTTTACCTTCACTTTATAACTGATTGTTGTATGTGCAGCTGCTCGCCTCAATGTTTTCCTTTGCAGGAATGCCACTCTTCCAAATAAATGCCATTTCAGCTTTTTGTCTCCTTTTGCATGCTTTGCATGATGATTTCCTTTCTCACGTGATATGGCTGAGCATCACAGGCAGCTGAATGTTGTCACCAAGCTATTTGGAAACCCTAAAGAAGAGGTTTTGTGTTTTGGGAAACGGTGGTCGACCCTGATAGTTACTTTCTCCTCTTTTTTCCCCATCTTTTTAGCTGCTTCACTCGATAAAGCGAGTCCATTGGCTGAGGGATACTTACGGCACCGTTCTGTTCCGTCGTGCACCAACTCTACCGTCTCAGTTGTTAAGATGACACCTCTTTCTTTTCTACCTGGGGCTAAAATAACCAAATACCTCGGGATAATCAACATGTTTTTTATACGAGAAACCACTTCTCTGCGTGAGGTGAGCTGCGTGCCAGGGATTAGCGATTTTTTGTTAACTGTGATAATCAGAGGTAAATATCTGAAGAGGTTTGAGTTGAGGTGTGGCACAGCCAGGGAGCAGGATTTGTGTCACTTGAGGGCTGGTGCTGAGTGGGGAGTAAGTTCTATTACCCTGTTTTTGTTGGAGAACACAGAGAGCTGCTTTGTGTTTGGCAACGCTAGGAAAGGGTTACTTAACCATTGCCATTGCTGTTGAATTGGATAGAATACTATAATACTAAACCAATGAGTTCTTAGGCAGAACTATATAAAAAAAAAGGATCTTTGACCAACAGTGATAGTTTGGATCATTTGATCCTAAACCAGAGATTAAGTTAAACGCTGAAAGAAATAAATTTGTAGAATCACAGGATGGCCTGGGTTAGAAGGGACCTTAAAGATCATCTAGTTCCAAACCCTTACTACCAGACCAAATCATATATTCTTCTCTCTTTTAGCAAGCTCAATGATTAACTTTCACAGTGTATTTGGATTTTAAAACACGAGGTTACCCATGTCATTGGTAACTGTTGTGCCGATTTTTAACATTGCATTCTGTGAGTTCTCTGTAACAAAACTCTGTGTGATGAATGTCAAGAACTACACCAGGGAGTCTACAACCACACAACCAGGTTACAGGTGTAGCTAGTGATACTCAGTGACCTCCATTCTGGGTCTGGAAAACAAATAATCCTCTGAGCATGCCAAAATGCAAGCTGTGTTCCTTTGGGGAAGTAGCTGCATCTTTCTGCTTTTGGCCACAGAAATAGACTGTACCTCTTGTCTGGTTTGCCAGTGCTGATGGAGGTGCTGTTTCTTACTGGTTACACATGGATAAAATTACAGAGCAGATGTTAATAAAGATGATCAGCCTTCATGAGAAGGAGCTGTGAGCTCTCTAGAGAAACTTCAATCAGACAAACGTCGTGTTTGGATTTTGCAAGTTACAGCCCCTTTTAACTTGGGAAATCTACGTGTGAGAAGGACAGTATTTTCAAAAGGTTGTATGGTCAGACCAGGGAAATGGTTACATGACATTTCTGTATGAAGTGCAGCTTCTGTAGGTACAAGTTCAGTAGCTGATAAGCAGCTTTGGGAACTGTGATAGCAGATCCCAGGACAGACTTTGGGACAGGATTGCTCAAGAATCTGATTCAGCTCCTCCATGAAGTTGGGACAGTCTCTGGGATACTGTCAGTGTGCTGTTTCCAGCACCCAGGGCAGCTAATTTAAATTGCTTCAGCCACATAGGCTGTGGTACAAACTAGTTGTAACACTGGTTGCACAGTATTGCCCTGAGGCTGTAAGAGAGTCAGAACAGGGCAGTTATTATATCCAATTCCAGCATTGTGTTTCAGGTTCCACAGGAAAGTAATTAGCAGCATTTGTGTTGTTATTGCTTACAGAATATTGAGGCCCTATGAATGCTCTCATAGGCTGAAGTATATAACCAGAATCAAAAATGAATGATAATTTAAAATCTGATTGATCCAGTAGTTTTAGGTTTTGCTATTTACACGTGGGTATTGGTAATCTGTTTGTTACTTGTCATCATTCAACTTTGTATTAGGCTTACAATGTATTTTTTTCCCTATCAGATGCTGTAACTGTTAAAACACTTGGACAAAATCAAAATTTCATGATAAACTTGCATTGAATTTTTGGCTATGATTTTTGGCTGCAGTTGACTTCATTCCTGCTTTATGCCGGGATTGATAAAGTTATACTTGCCCTTTGTTTTTAAATTTTCCTCCAAGATATGTTTTTCTCATGTCTTTATGAGTCTGTTCAAGGTAGATTATACTTCTTCCAGTGGATATGAGTACAGCCCATATAATTTCAGTTTAGATCAGTCTCCTTCTACCTGCCTCTTTCATTTTCATCAGTGGCGCGCACACACACACACACACACACACACGTGGGAAGTCTGGTGGTCTTGCCTTTCACTTTCATTTTGAAATTTTACAGATATTTTGAACCAATAGTGAACTCTGTTTGATCAGTAATTTTCTTAGTTTTTCCTGTGGATTTTTACTTTTTTGGTTGGTTGCCTGGTTGGTGTATGTTTTTCCCCAATGTGTTGTTCACATTCTTTCATAAGACTTATCTAGGAAAATCCATACTTTGTTGTTTTCCTTCTCCTTTCACATCAGTTTAAATTATTCAACTTGGCACCAAAGAAGTAAAAATTCCCCACAAGCACCATCAAGTCAAAAAAATTAATGAATCGGGATGGCCAGAAGTTCCTTTGGGCTTCAAGGAGGAAAATAAAATAAATAGCTTGAATAGCTCCAGTCTCTGCTCTGTCCCTTGCTTACTTCTTATTTTGAAGGATCATTTCTTTACTGAGTGTTGAGAACTAATGACAGTCATTAACATAGATGAAGTTGGAGTGATCAGAGGTAATGGCCACTCCTTGCTGGTAATTTCTAAGAAGTCTAAATCTCTCTTAATCCTCAGTATGAATTATTCTTTATTTGCTTTCCAGTTATCAAAAAAAAAAAAAAAAAAAAGGGCAATATCCTTCCTGATGAAAGACTAAAGCTGTTACTGAACTGTCATTGGAATGTTAAATGTTCCTGCAGAGGTGTAGGAATGTCTGAAAAGCATGGGTATATGGAATATACTGACTGCAGAGAATGAGTCACAAATGAATAACCTGCTTGTCATACTTTCCCTCAGACAGTAAGTTCATAGAATCACAGAGTGGTTTGGGTTGGAAGGGACCTTAAAGATCATCTCATTCCAACCCCCTGGCATGGGTAGGGTCACCTTCCACTAGAACAGGTTTCCCAAAGCCCCATCCAACCAGGGATGGGGTATCCACAACTTCTCTGGGATGAATTTCTTCCTAATATCTAATCTAAACCTACACACTGTGAGAGTGTCAAGCCATTCCCCCTTGTCCTGTCATTCCAGGCCCTTTTAAATAGTCTGTCTCCATCTGATCTTTAACTGTGACCAGCTAAACAGTGAATAGCTTTTAACTTCTCTACAATACACCATTTAGGATGCACTGAAATATTCAGTTTATAAATATTTACGAAAAGTATTCAGCATCTTGTATCTAGTCCCAACATAACATGTAATATTTTTTTTTTCCATTTTAGGAGGGCGGTGTCAGTGGTTTTCTCCATGCTTTTATTGCTGAAGTGTTTGCAATGGTGAGAGCTCACGTTGCAGCTCTGGGGGGGAATGCAGTTGTCTCCTACATAATGAAGCAGTGTGTCTTCATGGAGAATCCAAACAAAAATCAGGTAAATTAGGATGTGAAGTAACAGTGCTGTTGTGGTTAGTATGATACAAATAAACATTTGATGTATTTAAAAACCAGCAGCTCTGAAGAGCCGTGTCTGCATAACACTTCTGGATGTCTTGTGATAATGCTTGAAGAAGCCAAGAGACTTCTCGAACACCTGCCTTAAAACACAATTAGGAATAGGCTTCAGAAATACCCAGATGGGTAAAAATACTGAGTTTACCAGAATGAAGTAAATTGCAGGAAACAGATGCACAGTAGTGCTGAACTTACTTAGTTTTCCTGATGTTGCAGTGCAGGATTTTCATCCAAACTCCCTGTAAAAATACCTGGAGTTGCTGATATAAAATGCTCCATTTTGTACATAAAAGGGACAAAGCTTTATTAGTAACGACTAACAATTGAATATGATAATTTTGGTAAATGGAATATGTTCGAAACAGTAGTGAAAGCAAGCACAGCTACCCAGATATTTCATTTGTGGTGTCTTACAAGACTCCATCTGCATGTTTGATAGCACACAGGTGAGTGAATATAAAAGAAAATATGGCACAGATTGCGTCACTAATAAATTCTAATTATTTGTCTTTCTCTTGATCCCCATTGACCTTTCTGCGTAGTTAGATCTAGCAGATACAAGTAAACATAAAATATGCTATTGTTTAATGTTTAGTAACTGTGTATTGTCTTTTCTTCCAGGCTCAGTGTTTAATAAATGTCAGTGGTGACGCCGTCATATTTGTCCGTGAGTCTGAGCTGGAAACATTACCAGCACAGCCTTCTACGGCTGTTCCTCAGCCCACGAGTTCTGCAGGAGATGTCACAACATGAAGACAGAAAAAGTGAAATAGTCTCTGCCAAATATGAAGATAATTTAAAGTGTGGGAATGTTTAGGTTTGCATCTTCAAAATCAGTCTCCATAACATTCATAGCCAAAATCCAAGACAATCACCTTTTTTCTTGGTGGTGTGTTTTTTTTGTGGGTTTTGTGTTTTTTGGTTTTGTTTTTTTTTTTTTTTTTTTTGTGGTTAAACTTTATGTGAGAGTCAGGGCAGTGTACTGGCAGGTGGGCTCTGATTCTTTTGTTACAATTCCAGGCTGCAGTGAAACCTAGGCAGGAGGTGAAGCATTGAGGGTGCGGATTAGAATAGCAGGCGTCACATAGAACTGTGGAATTAAGCAAAAATTCTGTTGTATTTTTGAGCTGTTCAACAGGACCACAATAAGTTGTAATTCAGAACCATTTCTGAGGTTGGATGTCATATGAGCTGACTCTCAGGTCGAGGTGGGAAGGAGGTGATTTTGTTAGCAGCCTTTGTCCAAGGAGGGAGAGATTTGTGTCCAGGCCAAGAAAATGCAGGCTGGAGCCTGAATTTCCCTTGGATTGTAGAGTGTGAAGAGGGAAAAGCAGCACCAAAAAGTCACAGTTTGAATTTCTGCACACTAAAACTATTTTTATTTTTTCTTTCATTTTTCTTTTTTTTTTCCTATTTTTTTTCTTTTTTTTTTTCCTTTTTTAATGTTGGGGAGTTTTGTTCTGTTTCTGTGGACTGTTTGTGAACTGCTGGGTTATTTTTTTTATAATCATTACTATACAGTAGATGTTCGGGGTGGGTATTTGAGAGGTGTTTTTTTTTATTTTATTTTATTTTGTTCTTTGTTTTTAAAAAGGTGCCAGACCACAGTACTGTGTTCCTGGGCATGGTGGTCATGGGGGGTGGGAGGGAAAGAACAAAAAGTTCCAAAGTGTGTTTGGTGCTATTAAATGATGTTCACTTCAATATTGACAAAACAAGTCTTTCTGTTATTTAAAGGTTTTGTGGAAGAATTGTCTTGAGGTTCATTTTCTTAAGGCTTGAGTGATCTCTTGCAAGGATGACATAAACTGTCCCCCAAAAGTCAGTTGTGCAGAGGTTATTCTGCAGCCTCCTTCCCATTAAACATGTGGGGAAACACTTGGCTGATTGGAGACTGATTTATGTCTGTGGCACTGGTTTCTGCAGGTTGGTTTTGTGTTTAAGGGTTTCTTTGAGGTTTCCTGTTTGGTTTTGTTCTTTTCCAGTACTGTAGCTGGGAAATGAAGGTACTGCAAAGAAAGGAAATTTGTCATTTCCAGTAAATGTCTGAAAGGTGAAGATATTTTAATGTAAAAAAAAAAAAAAAAGGAAAAAAAAAGCAAACTTTGATTTGAAGATGCATTCTTACTTAATTCTGACAATGTCGTACATGGAACTTGAACAAAGATGTAAACTTGAATGTAAATACTCTGTTTAGTGTTGAAATTAAACAATGGCATGATTATTTGTTTAAACTAATTATTTCATTGTAAATGAGCATGAAAATCATTCTTGCACAATAAATTTCTTTATAAAATTTATTGCTTTTTTATATGTGTAATAGGTAAATATGTGTAATGGTGTAATACCTACCTACTGAAGAGGTCCCACCCCCATCCTCCTCAGAGGAACATTTTTTGTATAGAATCATTTGTATCCTGGGCTGAAAATTGTATCCTTGGCTGCATCCAAAGCAGGGGGGGATTCTGCCCATCTGCTCTGGCACCTGCAGTGCTGCCTTCAGCTCTGGGGGGTCCCCAGCCTAGGAAGGGACAGTGACCTGTTGGAGCGAGTCCAGAAGAGGCCACCAAGGTGGTTAGAGGGATGGAGCACCTCTGCTGTGAGGAAAAGCTGAGAGAGTTGCGGTTGTTCAGCCTGGAGAAGAGAAGGCTTTGGGGTGACCTAACTGGGGCTTTCTAGTACCTGGAGGAGAGTCTACAGGAGAGATGGAGAGAGACTCTTAACAAAGTCATGGAGTGACAGGACAAGGGGGAATGGCTTTGAACTGAAAGATTTTGAGTAGGTTTAGATTGAATACTAGGAAAAAATTCCTTACTGTGAGGCTGGTGAGGCACTGAACAAGTTGCCCAAAGAAGTTGTAACTGCCTCATCCCTGGAAGTGTCCAGGTTGGACGGAGCTCTGAGCAGCATGGTCTAGTGGAAGGTGTGGAGAACCCCCAACAACCCCCAGGTTATAAGGTCCCTTACAACCCCAACCGTTCTATGATCCTACAGTACTGATATTTTGTAGAGTTAATTACCCTTTGTATTTGAAGTGTTTAATTCGGTCCTTTCCAGAACACGTCACTAATACACTTAATCAGCTTTCCAATTTCTGCAGCTGTTGCAACCAAAGCTGCCATGAATTAATTCGCCTGTGAACAGTTGCAGCTCTCTTGATTATTTTGCAAGGCAAATCTTGTTCCCCTTTGAAGCTGATGGCAGAATATGAATAACTTCAAAAGGTCTTGGATCTGGCACAAGAAGTTGTTTTCAGCATAAGTATTCAGCATGAAATATTATCTGAAGTAGCACATTACACTAGTTGGTTTTGATTATTTTTCCTTTTTGGGGGGTGGTGGTTGTTTCTATGGAAGCATTAATGTCATCTTTTAATTTCTAGCTGTTTAAAGGTCACAGTTTCCTGTAGTGTATTTCATTAGACGTAGAGGAGGAGCTTTCTCATCTAGAAATTTTAATTCTTCTCTAATTATTACTGCAGAAATGACAAACATGGGTTTTAGCTGTTGCTAATTGGGATTTGACTTTTCTTAGTTTGTGCAGTTGGATAAATGTGACCTGTAGAAAGTCGTACACTTAAATTGCCTTGATCATTATTTATATTTCTCTCCAGTGTAAAAAAAGAAAAAGGATAAGTGGATGAAATCAAACCTTGCTTTGTCAGGAATTTAGTCTAGGAATAGCTGCATCGTCTGTCTCAACCCAGGAGTTTTCTCATGCCCTCCTGCTGGGAGGGAAGGAGCACATGAGCAGCTGTGCGGTGCCTGGCTGCCTCCCAGGGTTGATCCCACAGCATTGCTGCTTTCTCTTGACTTGAGGAGCCCAAACATCACAGCGTGGGGGGAAAGTAGCCCTGTTCCTATCTGCAGCCCTTGGACCACCAAATTTGGGTTTAAAATCTTCATTTCTATATTGTGAATAAACTGGGTGGTTTTGTTAGAATGAAGTGGCAGCATCTGATGTAAAAATCCACCTTCTGCCAGCACTGCTTTACTTGCAGCAGCAAAGCTGGGTCTATGTCAGGCTTTCAGGGTGTGGAGAACTGTTCCCTCCTCTGGAAAACAGTAGCAGAGTAGGGAAGAGCCTCTGCAGGTGATGCTGGTGCTGCTTGCTGATTCTTTCCACATCTTTCTCTAACCACCACTATTATAAGAGATGTGTAGTGCTTGCTAAGCTTGGAGGTGAATAGGAATGAACTTGAAGGGAGTTGCTGGCTTCATGATGACTGGCTCAGTGCTTTAGGAATGCACCTTCTGGAATAACATCCCACTTTCTTTTTCAAGTTGGAAGCTTGTTTTCGGAGCTGGTTGGAAAATCTTCATTTTGCGTTATTTATCCATGTTATCCTCCAAGTTTGTGAATTCTGATGCACACGTGTGAAAGGTGCAAAGTGAAAGCAAATCTCCCCTAGTGAACGGTGTGAGGTTGATTGTGGTTCCCTTCTTCCCAAGTGGAATCAAAGCTTTTTTTCTTGAAGTTCAGTTGCAATCAGAATTTCTTAGGAGATAAATCCTGAGGCTCTGGTTCACTTCTTTCAGACTGGAAGGCAGCCCTGCACCTAGAGACTTACTGAGAGGCAGATACATGAAAAGAGAAGCAAGACAGATGCAGAGGATTACAAACAGTTGCAAAGAGTGAGATATCAGTAACTGAAGTTTTGGGAGAGTTCTCGGTTCCCTTTGAGTGTTCAGATAAGGATAAGGATGGATGGAAGCTTTGATGACTAATCTGAGTAATAGAGTTTTCTGGGTGAGCACATTGGGAACAACTGTGTTTCTGTGGCATCCAGGGGTCTGTTGAGCATCGGGCTGCGTGGCAAGAAAAGTTTTCTTGCTATGCAGAATTTGTGGGTTTGCTGGATAGGACAAAGCTCAGCTTTGACCACTCTGCAATGCAGAAATGAAGCAAAAAAGGATGAAAAGACTTATTTGCCCTGTGTGCAGAAGAGTGCAAGGCCCTGGGAGCACCAGTGCATCTTACAGTCTGTGCCTGGCTTCATCCCACCCTGCCCATGTCCCCATTTCAGCCCCTGGGGCCACCTGCCCCAGCGGTGCTGCAGCAGGGCTGGTTTCCAGCCCCTTCATCCCTGCCCTGCCTGGCCATGGACACTGCTGAGCTGGGGCTGCCCCAGTGCCCCCACATGCCCTGTGGCCTCCCCTGCCACCCTGGGGAGCCCCCATCGCTCCTGGGGGCCTGGGCAGCAGCAGGACACAGGGGTACAAACGGGGTTGTAAGATGCAGACTGACGCAATAGCTTAAATATTGAATCATCATCCATGTCAAAACTGGCATAGCTTATATCAGGTGTGTTAAGTCTGACACACCAAAGGTTTCCAGTGGCAGGAAAGGGCTTTGATTTCCTGGGGCTCTCTTCCAGGCACAGGCTGGCTTTCTTAGGTTTTTGAGAAGTCAGTTGTGTAAACTCTGCCTGGGCTGAGAGCAAGGCAGGCTGCTGCTCCTCAGTGTACAAACAACCCCACCAGGTACCACTTCTCATGGGTAACACCTCCAGTGTTTCACAGAATCGGTTGGTGTCATTTCTCCACGGCTGAAGTAGCAGAGATAGAGAGGTGTGAAGGAACGTGCCAAGGCCATGCTGGGGGCCAGTGGGAGAAGCCAGCCTTTCTCCAGGCATCAAAACGCCGTCCCTGTGAGCATACTGTGACAAATGACAATCAGCCAGACACAAATCTGTGTGCTAATGGGTCTGCTGTCATCGTACCCACATCATGAACATGTCTGCACCAATATAGCTGGATTTAATGATCTTGGATAATAATTTACTGTGTGTATCAGTCAATGGGCAAATCGGTGATTGAAAGATGGAGTCTGAAGGTTTTTTTTATTTTATTTTGAAAACAGGAGTAACATTTCA